TCTGTCACATTTAACTCATCCCTTGGAAGAGGCAAACAAAGGCTCTTGGTTTAGGTCTTGCTTTGTCTGGACTGAAAGGAAAGCACTCGGGACCTGGTAGGGAGTCTTTGGTTGAGCTTGTAGTGCAGTGCTAACTCAATCCTTTCCTCTTCTCCCTAACTCACTCACTCTCTCACTCCCTCTTTCCCCACAAGGGCACAGACATCTAAAAGGACTGTATCTTGGTGTGCGTCCAACAAAAGCTCTCTGCTGAATTTCATCCTCTTTTGAATTTGTGTTTGAATAACACTAGAGCTACAAATCAAAATATGTTGGACACTGAGAGTGAGGTCATGGAGTGTAGATCATCGTTGCTTTCATAGACGTCTCCTTGTGTAAGAGAAGGGGACGGACGGGTGGCTGCTACTTTGACTGATGGCTGCAGGGCCTGAGAGAGCTGTTTGGTGTGCATTTTCCTGAGACTAAGTCCATGCCTATGCCAAGCCCCTCATTTTCCTCCTTGCAATATATTTCATTAGACTTTTAACTCTTTTTGCAAGGAAATTGCTAGACATTTTGTGGGTTGGTTGCTGAAGGCTACTGACAGTTTCTCAGTTTCAGCCAAATAGATTGGTACAAATATATTCCAAAATCTTTTCTATAAACACACATTCAAAAAGTTAAATGCATTAAATTTGTACAGTATAACATCCAAACTGAAAAAGCTGAGCAGCGCAGCAGCGCAGCGCAGCATTTCATGGTTACAGGCGTGCAGGTCCCAGTGGCGCAGATATAATTAAGACCTCTTCTTAATTACTTAATAAGCCTAATTAGTACCATTCCTAAGCAGCAGACTCGACTGTAAGAGCGATGGAAATCAAACAAATGTTAAGTCTATTTGTTAATTCATTTAAATCACTATGTTAATGAAATTAGTGCATCATGATATAACAGAAACAAACCATGCTGGGAATGACCACAGGGCTAATGCAGTTTCATATGCTCCTGATAAACATTCAATTAAGCAGAACAAAAGGAGGACAAAAATCACAGAAAACAATAGTAAATATAGTTTTTGTTGCCTGCACCAGTCATTAAGTGTTTATTGTATTCGCTTTTCATGAGTTCATGGCCATATGAGATGGAGAAGAGCATAAAAACTGACCAGGGATCTGCTATGTTGTCATCAGGATAAATAGCCCACAAATCATGCACTGAAGCTGCTGCTGCATTTCTGGCCACTTAATTAGAAGTTGTTGATACCACAGAAGGTGTCACCAACCTTTTCAGGCACTGAACAGATGGTGTCCCCTCTTTTTGAGGTCCTGCCAATGCCTACTCTGTGGCTCCTGGGAAAATGACCTAACTCACAGGCAGCTGCTTAGTGCGGCTTGAGTGATTCTTTACAGCCACTTCGACTGGGAGGGACTTAGCAGGATGGACCACTGCAAACAAGGGGTGAGACCACCATAGTTAAGTCCCTATATAGCTGCAAAAATCAGTTTTGGTTGCAGCATAGCAGTTGTTAAATCTTTGTTTTTAATGCTGTGTGCAAAGACGAAGCAAAGACCTTGACCCTGGAGATCTTTGTGTCTCAGAACTAGTTGCGTTTGTGGGGACCTTCCTCTGTTGCTGGCAGATGGTGTGAATATCAACAGTGAAAGGACCTGGGAAGGCCTGCAGAACAAAAAGTGAAAAGGGTGGCTTGACACTTACAAAGAGGCCCTGGGGGTGGGGGTAGTGGGGGAGTGGCCTTCATCCTAATGGATAAAAAGAAAGAAGGAGTAAGAGTTTGCAAGAGCATTTGCCATCACGGAGTAAGAGTGGATGGAGAAAATTCGAGGGCCGTAGATTCGATTTGTGCAGAGGCGGGGGGTCGGGGCTTTAACATGCTTCGTGCTGCGTGGACAGAAGATCGGCTGTCACTCTGTAGTCGGCTTGCTTTGGCTCAACCTCCCTCCGACCACGCAGGAGGTGGAGAAAGAACAAGTTGAAAATTGGATGACTAATTGCTTGATATTCATTACATTATGTGGGTTTCATCTTAAAGACATTTTAATTTTAAACATTTTTGCAGTATTTTCAAAAATCTCAATCATGTTCTTGAAAGAAAATTTACACAGCCTGTGATTAAACTACTGACAAATGTCACAAACCACTACAGCTATAAATCTTCTGCACACGTTTCTATTTGGAGAAATCACAAGACTGGAATGTGCTGCTCCATTCCTTGCTACTGATGATGAGGTAGCTGAAAGGCCAGGGTGTCTTCTTGAAAAGCAGCTCAGCACAGTGGAACTGTTTCACTGACATGGCAGGGGACATAAAATCTGTCATTTTCATCATGTTCTATCGTGGGTAAACCTGTTTCCTGGAGCTCTCTCTATGTATATGTCAGGTGTGGGTTTATGGAGCTGGGGCAGGCCCGATCGATCTGCAGGAGCTATAGGATTTAATAGGTGCACAGCTCTTGCTAAGGGGTGTGGGGTGTGGAGGGTATATCTAATCATTAAAAGGGAAAAAGGTTGCAAACCCTGATCACCAGTAGGTTCTCTTTTATGAGAAGTCAGGGTCAGTGTGAAATATCTCCCATGACCTATTTTTAGTGCTGGTGTTTTTATTGTACTGCTCTGCTTTATAAGGTGGTCAAAAAAAAGGATATGCGTTGTGCTACTGATTTGTATCCACATCTGTTTAAGTGTCTCTTTGTCTTTGTTCAAGTAAGCCAACTCCAGAAATGTGATCATTTATTTACAGTAAAGATGAAGAATTACAGTATTTTCTTCAAAATACTGTAGCAGGACTCCTTACAGACTAAGATATACATTAATAATGTTTACATTATAAAACAAGTAAGGTGGCATATTTCAAAATGAATGCATTCATTTTAGTTAATTATTTATCACAGCTGGATACATTTAATGCAAATGTGATTATGGTGACCATTACATTAAATATATACTGAACATAAGACAGGTCTTGATTGTGTTGTGGTTGGTGAGTTTGCCACAGAGCAGTACCATGTGAAAAGGTGTGTGTGCCCTAAAGGTAGAGTTGATAAGAGTCTATATTTTTTCTATGGTCAACAAATTCCACACAAAAGAATAGCCACCATGAATTGAGCTTACAGATGCTAGATCACTGTAGCCAAGGCCCAAAAAGTCGCATCCTGTGCCACAGAACTCTTTTCTTGTCACATCAATGAACCACAGTATTGCACCAGGTCGCCCCTTACATCACTTTTTTGAACATGGGCACTGTAGTTTATTTAGAGTCAATCCCACAAACCCCACCCTGGTGTCATTAATACTGCCTAGCACACAAAATGTGGATTAATTTGCCACTGAAAATAGTTCCAACAATGTACTCTTTGCTCCTGTTTGAGTGATGTTTGCCAAAACCTACAGTGCCCAAACATTTCTGGAGATTGCTGTGGCCTTTTATAAAATGAAAGTATATTTTATTCTGACATGTGTTTAAAGACATACTGTATGCTTTCAGTGGGAATTAATGCACTTAGGGCTGTGCAGTAAAGAGTCTGGGTAGGTCAGAAAGTAATTAGAGACAAAGTAAGAGAGTTTTCCTTTTGTAATTTGTTTATAATAGAAGAATATAGAATAAGGACAGTTTAACACACATTGCTCACTAAATAGCAGTGCTTTTATATTCAGTCATGTAATATTGGCACATTTGGAACATTTGGCCCAATTCTTCATTAGAATCCCTGTCAGCTGATGCTTTAGCCGTCACCAGTATAGTCTTCTGCATTTAGCTGTTGTCAGCTGTGTTTTGCTCCAAATCTTTGCAGCTTTCATAAACCCCTCAAATGACCTTGAACTTCAGCAGCATACCCCAACCTCACACACCTGTCTGCTTGATATTGTTATGCTGGGTCCTACATGCTAAAAGTCATTGGTGGTGATAGTGGCTGATTAAATTGTGTCCATTGATCGAGTGGCGTGCTGTTAGGATGAGGACGGCGCAGGCTGCAGCTCCTGCCTCCCCTCCTCAGACACACTGACAGTCTGAGACAGAGGAGATGGAGCTCCATGCAGGGCAGCAGATTGAGTTATTGATCAGCCCTCTCCTCTCTCCTGTCTCTGTCTCCCTCTCTGCTGCTCAGAGAGACCCCGTCATCAGGATAATGAATTTCACTCATTGCAGATTAACAGCATTAGGCCTGTATGGTAATAATGGCAGAAATTAGCTCTTTGTCACCCCCTCTGGATTTCCAAGAAGGAGGAGGGATGAAGGTTGTTATGGCTCTGTAACTCTGTTTTAACAAGGGAGAGCTGAAAGACAAAAGGTGCACGAAATGAAAGATTTGAGGAAGAATGAATGAGAAACTTGATCTCAGCATCACCAAAGCAGTAGAGGAGAATTCTGATGCAAGAAATTCAGTTTGATGGGGAAGAGTGAAGGAGAATTTAAAGAGGAAAAGAACGCTGAAGAGCAGGCTGCTCTGTGGAAAAGAGAGGTTAAAGAAAAAAGATGAGAGTGAATGATTCAAAAGAGACATAAAGAGGCATGAGAGGTGAAGCAGGAGCAGTAAAGTGGAAGAGAGAGAGAGCTAGGCAGTGGTCATACAGTCACCAGGCAGTGACGCTGCTTAGGGGTCGACCATTCTGACTCCAGCACCAATAGCTGGGGTGGTAAAGCATGAATAATGAGGCTTGATTGCAGTCAGTGAGATGACACATTGTTCAGAATCAATCCTCACGGCAATTACAGACGGCACAAACGGGAGCCCTCACCCTCAGTCCGGACAAAGCGGGAAGTGATTGTGTCAGAGGACAACATCATCTTTGTTGATCACTTGTTGCTGCTTCATGTCGGAGCCATTAGCACTTACTCTGCACCTGCAGCACTTTCACATAAAAAGTCTCCAATTCACATACACTATGTGAGGATCTAAACACAAGAGCATACTTGTGTTTGTCATATTTATTATCATATGCTTATCATATATAGTCACATATAGTATACAGTATAATAGAGTGCATGTTCCCTCCTTGTTTCAGGTATGGCTTTGGATTGTTGGATGCCGGGCTGATGGTGCAGCAGGCCGCACACTTTAGGACAGTAGCTCCACAGAGGAAGTGCATTCAAGAACTCACACTCCATCCCACCAGGTAATAAACATACATATAATATATATATGTTTAGATTTCATACTTTGGTCTCAGGTTCTGTCTTTCACTTTTTCTTTGTTCCTCACTTTATTGTACCTGCCTTTACAAAACAGCTTCCTGCGCAGGGATCGAAAATCCTTCCTCTTATAATCATCCATGCTGTAAATGTTTTATGTGTGTGTAGTATGTGTGTAATAAGCATGGACAAACAAGGTTTTGTTATTCACTGGCAAATATAATGACTTTTATTTTGGTAGGATCCTTTCTCCAGGAGGTGGGGTCAGTGTGAACATCATATCGGAGGCCTGCCATGGAAGTGCAAACAAGATCAACACCCTCGAGCACGTTCAGGTTAGACAGACACTTCTGTCTAAATCAAATACCATAAATATACAGTATATTGAATATTGTTGATTTTTTTCCCAGGCAATAATTTGGAAATTAAAATATTTGAAGTTTTATGATATTTCTTGGCATCCCTTAATAATCAGGTATGTGAAAGAAATTGTTTAATATTTTGGGAAATATGCTTATTTCTTTCTTGCTGAGGCTTAGATGAAAAGAACCCTACCGCACTCATGACTGTCAGCAGTTGTATAGCTTAGCATAAAGAGTGGAAAGAGAGAGTTAGCTTAACTCCATCAGAAAGCCTAAGACGTCTGTGCTCCTGTCCGCAAAGGTTATAATAAAACAAGGGGAATTTATGAAAACTAACAGCAACACTAACCTGAAAGTAGAGGGAGGGTGGATGTCAGCTATAGGAAGTGAGGCGCAGTACTGTCTTCACAAAATTCCAGCTACTAAATACAACACTAGAATTGACACATAAGCACATACCCAAATTTTCATTTAGACAAAAAGCTCACTAAAAACCAAACTAAGGAAGCAAAGCTACAACAAAACTCAAATAACAAGTGTTTATATTTACACAGCTGTCAGACCAAGCTACCAAGTTGTGGACATGCAGCAACATATAATTTGAGGACTATTCTTAACCATAGTCCTAGCACAGATATTATTGGTGGGTATTTATGTGCTAATTCCACCAGAACCAAAAGGCAGCCAAAAACTGGCAACCCTCTAAAAAGTAGGGAAATGCTCACCACTCTTCATCCACATTCTTTGCCACACTAAGGCAAAAAGAAGAACAGATCTCTGGTTGAGATCAACCAGTTCAGCCTACAAAGGGAGAGCATGGCTTCTCTAATATAACATGTGGCTATAATCTCTCAAATATGTTTGTAAACCAAACAGCTTGGTGACAAACGCTGCTGCCTTCACATCCACCACGAAATAACCAAGCAAATTGGTATAAGCAATTCAACAAGAAGACATTGCATTATTCTGCCAAACATTTTAACCACAGTGGTAACTACTGTACCTAAGGTACTATCCCCCTGAAAAGCACCAACACTAAATTTAGCTTCAACAAACCTCAGTAGTCAAACTAAGATGCACACTAACACTGGTTAATAAATTCATAGTAGAACAAGCCCCCTTGTGTCCCATTAAGGTTAGATTTAACCTTACCAAGAAAGGGTTTGAACGTTCTGGACAAGTCCCCATGTGTCACAAACTGGCTCATGAAGAACACACAGAAAAGGTGGGAAAGTCGTTTTTTTTTTCTTAAAGTTAGATAAGCTAGATATTCTCTTATATTCATGTGCTGTGGTTCTGTAGTAAACCTGATCTTACAACCTGTGTTTCACACCCATGTTTTTTTTGCCCTTGACAAGACACAAACTGAGAAGAATGCATTCAAAGCTTAACTTCTGTTAACCAGGAAAGCTCGAAGATTTCATATAAATTGTTTTCAGGGTTTCTGTGTCATGTGTTTTATCTGGGAATCGAAGAGATGGAAAAAGGAACATACTGTGATGTGTAATGTGTCGGCTGTGTCATTTGCGGAAAACGGCAAAACTGTTTTCTGGAGTACAGGCGGATACATGACAATGTGTTTATGTTTGACTATGTCAGCAGGCATATGTGCTGTATGTGTCTGCATACATGCACATATGAGTTTGTCTGTTTGTCCTTCGTTTATGAGTTGTTGTGCTTGTGATTGCGTGTGCTTGTGATATAGCGAGGAAAGGCAGAGAGCGAGAGTGTGTCAGCATGTAAATTGAAAAGGCTTCATCTTTGCAGCTCTGCAGAAAGCGTGGGTCAGGCCATCGCTGTAAGGTGTGATTGATGGATGTGTTGCCGTGGTAACACGCCGTAAACAGGAGCGGGCTGTCAGTCTTTTTGCAGCTTAGCGGTTCTCTCTGCGATGTGCCATTGTCACACCAGATGTGCTGCTTGTGATGAACAGGGACAGGGAGAGTGTTTACTGGGTGGGAATTGGGGGGGTACATGTGTTTATTTAAATCATTTAGCTAATGTTCTCCTCAAATTTATTTTTTTTTTTTGTTTCTGTCTTTTCTTTCTGGTCCCTACTTTTCATTGTCTTCACCTTTGGGTGGCCATGGAAAAATCAGTAGTTTGTCCATCTGTTTGGAACACATAGTACCTCAGACAGTACCGAGGATCTGGCTCTAAACTCTGGAAACAAGACGTGTTAGCACTGAACTGCAGCACTTCTAAAACTACTGTGATCAAGTGTAATTAAGTGTATCTACACTGTTTATTCATTTATGTGTCACACGTCTTAACTCAGATATCAGTAGTAATTACAATTTGACAGTTTTGGGAAATAGACTTACTTTGCTTTCTTGCCTAGAGTTAGATCAGAAGAGCGATGCCTCGTTCATGTCTGTATGGCATATATAAATCACCATCAGCTGGCTAGTTAGCTTAGTTTAACACAGCGACTGGAAATGTGGAGACACTTCATCAGGCTTTGTGCAGAGGCAACAAAATCCACCAACCTGCATCTTTACAGCTCACAAATTAACACATTACATCTAACCCACACAAAACCCAAAGCATATTTCTTTAAAATGCATATTGCTTAGTTTAAATGGATGTTGATTCACCTTTAAGGTAAAAAATTCCAGTATTTAATCAGTAAAGTGCCATTAAAAAATAAAGGCCAGCCTTTTTTTACTTATTTCTGTCATACTCAATAAACAGTGGTACTGACAAGTTGCTAAATGTCATCAGTGGAAGACAGCATGTTTACGTGTTGCGCTGTCTCTGTCCGCACACTTCCTCCCTCTTACTCTCCCTCTTTCTTTATCCCTCCATTAATCTCCTCATTCACACCTCCCTCTATTTTCCATTCCTTGCCACCTGTCTCTCACCAGGTGAGAGTTAGCATCAGCGCTGTGTGTCGTGGTGACCTCTCTATAAGCCTGGAATCTCCAGGTGGCACGGTATCACTACTGTTGGACACACGGCCCAATGATGCCTCCACTGCTGGCCTGAAAAACTGGACCCTGATGACAGTTCACTGCTGGGGGGAGCAGGTGCGAGGCCTCTGGACCCTCAAGGTGAGAGACAAAACCCTGCTGCCATCAGTTTTTATTTATTTTAGGAAACACTAGTGACACCTACTGTAGCTGCCTTTTGGTTCAGTGCTAATTAACAAAGTTTAGCATACTAACATACAGTATTAATGGTGAACATGGAAAACATACCTGCTGCTTGACATGAGCATATAAATGTTATCATTATTAGCATGTTAGGAGCCTGTTAGCTGTTATCTATACAGTCTGCTTTTAAAATGTATCCCCCCCACCGCCACCACCATGCACGCAGACACACAAAACCAACTTCTTGGCAAATCAAATAGACTACTTTATACTCCCCTATAAACCCTATTTTACATACCTTCTCATATTATAGAAATGGATTACACTGCTTCATATTGTCCTCTCCCAGTAGTTGTAGTGCATAGAAGTTTAAAAATAGCACAGCCCAGCACAGCTCAGCTTGGTTTAGTTCATTTTGCTATAGCAATGTGAATCATTCTCTACTTTCATCTCTGAGCTTCAGCCAAGCATGACAATCTTCATTTTCCTCCCCGCACTCTCCTTTTCCTTCTTTTTTTCCCCTCACATAGATGTGGCGATGTTTGATATGGAGGAAGGAGCTAAAATGGAAGGGAAATTAAGATTTGAAGGTTAAGTAACCTTGGCTGGGTTTGACAGACACAATACTGCCGACGTCTGATTAGACTCCATACCCACAGTCGAGGTCATTTACTGTATATATATGTGTGGGCGGTTGTAGCTGGTAGAGGTGGAGCGAGGCTCACTGTATATATGTATATGTGTGTGTGTGTGTGTGTGTGTGTGTAGGCATCAATCCTTGTAAACAGTTGGAGCTTTACAGACAAAAAACTGTGAAGATGAAAGACACCCACCCTTGTCCTCTATCACCTACCTCTTCCTGCAGGCACACACACACTCCTTCTCTCTATCTCCCCGTCTCTGCATCTCTCCCACGTCCTCATGCAGATTTACTGTCCCCTCTGTAACCAATTACCAGGGACCATTGTGTTGTAGAGACGGGTAGGAAACACCGTGAAGCCGAGCCACATAACAGCGCCGCTGCTCATTACCGGAGGGCCGAGACGAGTCACTGTGATGTTGGCAACACGAATTAACGCTTGCATCTGATGTGCTGCATGCCTTAGTACACCGCTAATCCACACACACACACTGATGTCTTACTGGCTGTCAACTTTATCATAGACTGTAAGATAGACGTGTACACACACACAAACACAGGGTGCTGAAAATAAGATGACTCCTCCAACACTTGAAGTTGAGAGCAACAGAATGAAGGGTAAACTGTAAAATGGAGGCCCTGGAATATCTGCTGGATCAGTGTTTAAAAACTCAAGGGCAGCAGATGGACTGGGGGGTCTATATTGATTTGTCATGATGACAATTGTCAAAGAGTGCTGTGGTGCTGCTGAAATAAAAGTCGGAGAGCGAGTGTTACGGCTCGAGGCTCAGCTGACCTTCCAGCCCTGTGAAGGAGATGACACTGAAGGGCTGGAAATACACTCTCTCTCTTCTCATACTGTGTCTGCTCTCCACTGTGCTTGCTCTACCACCATCTGTGGTGCCGCGGCTCAGCTCTGTGCTTTTACTGTGGATCAGTGTGGATTGCAGGCAGTATACAAGCCCAACAAACAGCAGAATGCATTGAACTGATGATTAATTATATGATTTGAAAACAATAATATATCATCATCAATATTTAGAAATACCATTAAGACTAGTAAATAGGCAAATAAAAGTATAGCTGATATTATTTGACCCTTAGATTCTCTTTCTTCCTCCTGTCTCTGTTTCCCATTCTGACTCTAGCTCTGTCTCTTGTTTCTCTCACCCTTTATGTTTTTACCTCCCCTCTCTCTCTCTTTCTCTCTCACTCTAACACACACATTGTTTTTTTAAATTTCCTTCTCATCCTCTCTTTTAAGTAGTTCCATCCACATCACATGCATTGTTAGGAGCTTAACTTTCTATAGGAAATGGAAAGTACAACAGTTTAAACCATTTGTTTAGCATGTTCATGGTTGGAATGGAGGTCCTTTTAGGTTTTCAGATATCCTTCTCAGAGATATCCAGCAGTATTTGTTTACTGTGCTGCAGGCACTTGAAAATGTTGTTTCATTGCATCCCCTTTAGCCCATGTAATCAGTGCACCTCACTGTCAGCTGTTTTCAGTTGAATTACTTTCTCCCAAAAGTAAACCTTTGTCAGGGTGTCCTGTGCATCACAGAGTAAGAGGAACAGTGTTTGTCAAGAGAAATGTTTCTGTAGTTTTTTTAAATGCCCGGCACCCAAATAGAATTACAAATACACATTACTCTCCTTTCTAGTCCACCTTGCTCCATGCTGCCATGTCTGCAGGGAGTTTGTGTGTAGCAGGGTGGCACCGATCTTTGACCAGAGACATCTCTGATTCCCAGAGGACTTTCAGACTCTAGCGGACTGTGACTAGCGCTGTTGTAGGACTATAATGGCACCATTTAGCCTGCAGCACTGTGGTTACATGCACACACACACACACACACACACACACACGTTGCTACAGCTATCTTTGTGAGGACATTCACTGACATGATGCATTCCCTTTAACCATCACAAATAAATGCCTAACTCCAACCCTTACACTAATCTACGAAGGACACACAGACAAACTCATATGTCACCTGAATCCTCAAATAACCTTCTGACAATGTGTAAGAAAGTGTCCTCACTCCCATGGTATAAAAGTCAAACTGGTCCTCACACTGTTGGCCATACAAGTGCAAACACACCATAGAGCCATCCCATGACTGACAGATCATGTATTTACCATCATCATCTCTGTGCTTTAGCTAGGGTCTCTCTTGTTCGTCGGCTCTTGACTCTCCAATAGATTACACAAACCAGATGCGCACAGTGACTACCTGAGAATATACAGTAATAACCAACGAATCATTCAAAAACAATGGAGTTTAAGCCGTATATGTAGCAAATGGAGGAAATACTGCAGGTCTTTGTAGGAAGGTGATAAACTAAAGCAAAACATTTAGAGCTCATTCCACACAAATTCACTTGAATATATCATAAGATTGTTTCTTATCTCGAGTTTCAGCAAGAAAAGTAAAACACAGAATGTTTATCATGATTACATTTATAGTTTGTCATATTTGGAGATATTCACCAGCAGCATGTGATATCAACTGCAATGTGAAGATATTTATCAAGTTATCACCTAAAAACCTTTTAGCTGATTACAAAGTACAATATCAATCAAGAAGCAGAAAATTCACTAAAAACTGTTTAGTAGATTCTGTGTGTACCTTTTTACTTTTAGTAATGTATTATATCTTCAGGAATCAGTAAAGACAAGGGTTAAGCACATTTCTGATACTTTGTTCTACTAACTGATTGCTATGTTTCACACACTGTAGCACAGGTACGGTGGCTGTGAGTACAGGGGGCTGCTAACTGCAAAACTAATGTTATTATATTACTTAAGTGTTGCCTTTGAATATTGTTGCAAAGTTTTGTGCACTGTCTCTAATCCTAAGGTGAAGTAAGAAGACTAGAAATAGGAAACGTGTTAGGTGTAAAGTAAGAAGACTAGAAATAGGAAACGTGGAATGTAGATCTTTCTGCTTTTTATGTGATGATGGTACTTTTGACTTATAAATAAAGTTTAGTTACTTTCAAAGGTAAAACTGGAATTGATGCACTACTTGTAACAGAAAGAAGTACTGCTCACATTTGGTGAACAAGTGTAAAAACATCTGCAGACTTTATTGTAGTTGCACAGAGCTACACAACCTAATACAAGGCTTCAACTTTGGCAGACATTGTCAAAGCTTCTGTGGTTGCTACAGCGGAAACACAGTCACACGTACTTTATCACAAACGTGTACTTTCACCCACACACACTCTCTCTCTCTTACTCACTCTGGCCCAAGGTGGATTTCTAGAGGTGCATATATTTGCATAAATCTACATGTTTAATGAGTTTTGGGAGATCAAGCGATCCGTACGGCCCTTTGTGAGTATTTCTTTCTTTTCTTTTCTCTCTCTCTCTCGCTCTGTGTGTGTGTTTGTGTGTGTGTGTAGAGATATGGGTGGGATTCCATGTAAATATCACCCACTGTGTGTTGGCACCCGTCACAGATGGTCGGGGGCCAGGGCACCCTGTGGGCACATGATACCTATTTCTGTTTGTCTGTATGCTTTGTGTGAGACTGGGAGTCCGGAAGAGTGTGAATCTGTGTGCACATTCGTTTGTCTGTGTACACTGTGCACTGTAGGTGTTTGTATATGTAACTCACTATGTGCATGCTTCCGTATGTGTTTGTCTCTTTTTTGTGTAATTGCAATTCTGTTTGCTTGTGTGTGTGTGTGCACATGCGCACTGTGATACTGTATATACTGTATGTTTGTATGTTTTACCTCTGAGTGCATGTGTTTGTGAGTCACTACATATTTGTGCTTTGTGTATGCGCAAGTGTATACTCTGTGTGTGTTTGTTCAGTTGTGTGTGCTTCGGCATGCTGCAGAGTGTGTGTGCACGTACCTGCATGTCTCCCAGCATGCAGTGTGGCTATGATGGCCCTGTTTTGGATGATTGATGTGTTGGAGAGAGCAGTGAGGAGCTCAGGTTGAGCCAGAGCCTCAGTCTGACACACTGCTGCTTCCCTGCTGCTTTACATATGTAGACGCAGCAAGACTCCTCCTCCCCTCCCATCTGACACTGCCTCACACTCCAGCACAGCCTCTCACATGTTCCAGGTTCTTTTTAGGATTTATTGTGAAGCTTCTGTTTCTTCTAAGAAAACAAACCAAGTATTGTGCTGTTTTCTAGCAACTTCCTGTTTCAGATTTTACATCTGACACTTGCCCAGTATAATCACAGTCTGAGGCACTTGGGGTTAAACTAACAATACAAATTTATTTAGAGTTTGTCTCATATTCAGGTCATAAAGAATTGTACACTATCAGTCAAAAGTCTGGACACACTT